ATATAAACAATACAAATCTGGGTAGTCGTAGTTGATAGTCGTGTCATTATTTTCACCGCCGGAGTTGTTTATATATTCCTTGTTAGTTTTTATCTCACTCAAAGACACGCAAAACATCTCATACTTAAATATTTACATAATTCCTGAATTTTTCTAAAGTGAAGTCATTAGCAGCGTACGTACATACATACATACAGGTGAGAGTGTGAGAGAGCAGATTAAAAGGTGTAATGGTGTACACTGTGCTGCTCTAAACAGTCAAATATAATGATAATATAAACAAGAGACGTTTAATCCACACTGATACTTGTTACAGCGGGTGTTATAGCCTAGGACTACCTGATGATTCGGCACCCTACATTACTTCACCTGTTGATTACGTTAGGTTAGGTTTGCGTTAGGAAGGTTAATGGTGCACTAAGCTAGGGGGAGTTAATGTTAAGGTGCACTAAGCTGGGGGAGTTAATGTTAAGGTGCACTAAGCTGGGGGAGTTAATGTTAAGGTGCACTAAGCTGGGGGGAGTTAATGTTAAGGTGCACTAAGCTGGGGTGAGTTAATGTTAAGGTGCACTAAGCTGGGGTGAGTTAATCTTCAGGTGACCCATTTTCTATATTATCATCTCAATGTTCTGTTTTTGAGGACACGAACTAAACGTGTAATGAGTGGTCCTGAACAACCGTGACCTGACGATGATCATCTTATAGTCTCAGACTGACTATGCCACGAGGCACTTGTTAGACACACACACACACACACACACACACACACACACACACACACACACACACACACACACACACACACACACACACACTGCCTGCTGCTTGATACACACACACACACACACACACACACACACACACACACACGGTATTAACACTAAGCATCTGAAATGTCTCTGGACTTCTTAGCTATAATACACAAAACATCAACTAATATTAATCTTTTTTGTTTTTGGTCCAGCAGGTCACTGATGGCGAAGCGGTGACAACACTAAAAATACGTCCAGTATAGTCTGTCTTGATGATGGCAACAGAACAAAAAACAAGAACTATTTCCTCATAGATACAATCAAGAGGTGATTCATTCACTAATTCACAACACACAGTTAAAAACAAAATCACCCAACTAAAAAAAAAAAAAAAAAAAAAAAACTTCTCTATACTTATAAAACTTGATTCAATAACTAGTAAACTACAGACAGACACACACACACACATAGATATATTAAATAGTTACTTATACTACCACTTAAGACTGTGACACTACATCTGTCATAGGTACTCAGCGCACTTATACAGTCCACGACAAAAACACTTACATTATCCGGGTTGAGTGTGTGGGTGAGACAGTCATTAATTCCTGGGTAATATTTCTCTACCACCCGTCAATTATTGTCTAGTATATCCTATGCAGTTTGGATAATGTTTACTACTAATTCGTGAAGTGGGAGGGCATCAGGCATCATGGGACATCAGGGGGCATCAAGGGGGGCATCAGGGGGGGGGGCATCAGGGACGAGGATAATGCCATTCAAGATCAAGGAGAGTAACCCCATCACATAAACACATCCTTAAATAAACTCACAATACAATGACCGATAAACCTTGTATATCAAAGGCACTCAAAAAATACACCCAATCTCTACCTTTCCCTTCACCTTCTTCCTCGTCCATTACATTAAAAACATGATTGTCTCACCTCAAACATTATTCACCCTACTTATTTTTTTTGGGCTTTAATACATTTAAGCTGATACATGACATGGTATTTTTTTTCCTCAGTGTTGAAGCTTCAGTATTCCTCATTGACGTGTGGGGAATCTTTTTTTTTTTTTCCCCATACTCAAAAAAAGATAATATTTCATTGTGTCACTATGGTAGCTATCAAGGTGGTCTTCCCTCTGAGGATTCAACACCAAGGAGGGAACGGAGCATTAAAATATATATATATATATATAGAAAGAGCAAGACGGCATGTACTGTACAGGTCTCTGGACTCTTATAAAAGAACCGAAGGACTTGCAGGAACATTAATCAGACTATTTGCCATTTATTTAAACCACATCTTTGGAGGCAGTCACTGAGAATTCGTGATGTATCCTCAGTGAGCTTTAATGACCCAGAGTAAGACTTGATAAAACACGAGAGGAAGACAGGAGGATAAAATGAAGTGTACAAAGAGCATCACGTTATAGACATACATGAATAATAAATTAGGAAGTTACTTGATAATGTTATGATGGTGGGTTTTGTTTTTTTAAAGAATATGTTGACAGTGGAGGTTAATGGTCTGTACAAAGAAGACTCACAAGTTGTTATCATGTCAGCTGAGAAACTTCCTGGTAAATCTCTTGAATGGTGGACAAATATTCACCTGATTTGAGGACATATTTGTATCTCTATCCTTAACCCCCATTTGAATAATTTTGTACCAGTGGTGATCTAGAGAGTTTAACCCTACAGACAACACTATAAAATTCTTCGGTAGCCTCTTAAAAAACTATCTATACAAAATTGTGTTGAAAAAATATGACACAACGGACGAAGGATGTTGACAATCCTACCAAGACGACAGGAATCACAGTGTTCATTCTGACATTTATCGATCACCCCGAGTATAGATAATTTTTTTTGAGGGGGGGGGGGGGCTTCTATAACAACATCATAACATCTTTCAACTTCTAATATAGCCTCTTCCTATAGTTAACCACTAGCACGTGATAGCTGAATAAAAAGTTACGAAAGTTATAGATTAGGAATTATAAAATATATTCATAGGGCCATAATAATTCAGTACCAAGATGTATTTGTACAGAAAAAAAACTCAGTACTGAATACAATAGCGTTCATAAATACAATATATATTCAGTAGTTTTCTTAATGTTAATAAAAAACATTACAGACTAAACAGTGTCTTTAAGGATTCATATATGGAGTACTGATGCCTTCATTTTTTGGTCAATAGCCAATCACTTTACCTAACCCACTAACTCATTTAAGTGAAGGCAACACCCGTACATCATGTGTGTGTGTGTCTGTGTTATATCTCTCTATTTGGGATTATGTTCCAAGGCTATAAAGTATCCCCCATAAAACTGTACACGAGAGAACACGATATATTTCAACGTCAGAGAGGAGATAATCTTCTCTAGACGTCAAATCTATATTTTCTACAACACTTGCTTCCTATACGCTGTGTGTGAGAGAGAGAGAGAGTGAGAGAGATACCAGGTTACCTATAATTTAATAACCCATTTCTCTATCTTCTAATGTAAACAAGATCTTATATATTGATAATATATATCTATAAAAAAATCAAGAAAAATCTATAATCATTCCAAGATATTAATCAAGTATAATTATTGTTGCACACGAGATGGAAAAAAATTAGTTCTTGGTATAAATTTAATTTCCTGTTGCATTAAAAGGTAGTCTGATGACGTCATTGCGAGTGTTTAGTTTTGATATGTATAAATGAATACGAATAAATACCTGTATACTTAAATATTAACAACTGCATCATAATTATGTACCATGTCATTAATTATTCTGGGATTCTCAAAATTATGCCGTTTGTGTTGTTATAATAATGGTCAGTACAACACCTTATATAATTCTTCTCATGATACCTTAACGATAATGGTCCGTATATAAACAGGTCTTGTATGTACTGTATAATAATGCTCAACTTGACCCCATAAACATAATTATTGTATTCGTTCATTAAACTCGGTTCTATTCCGTATAGAAATTTCCTCTGAGGGAAATTTATCAAAATATAGTCACCTGAAATTCATTATTCTTGTACTCACTACTATAAGAACTTTTTTTTATATATTATTTTAAAAGTTAAGGCTATTATTTTTTTTCTCTCATTCAATAGTTACAACGTCATCAGCCTTCCTTCCTTCATGAACTATAGGCAAGTTATCCATTGAAATTCATTATCCACGTTTTCTCTTCATTTCCCGTTTTCTAATTTTATTTTAATTTTAATATTTTCTTTCTATTTGTGTTTAGACGATTTCCCGCCGTTCTATATTTTTTGTCTTGTATCATTCTTTCTCTCTCTGTTATCGGTTATTCATTCTTCGTATCTGTACAGTATTCTAACTTTGGTCCCAGTTATTTTATTCTCCTGTTTTCTCTCTCTCCTTCGTTTGGTATTTTTATCCTTTGATCTATCTATCTTAGGGAGTGAGATACAAACACCTTAATACATGGATAATGAACCATCAACCCAGCGCTAAGTTCAGAGGTGCTGATGACGTCACAACAGTATACGTGATTCGCAGCGAGTTGGTGATTTTTGCCGGAAGGAATGACGGGAAGGACTCGCGGGTGAGTAGGTGGTGTTGGGGGCGAGTAGATGAGAGAGCTTTTTTACTAGAGGTATTTACTATTTAGCTCTTATAAATATGCATCTCTGGAACTTCTATACACTCGTACTTGGATATATAAAATGATGTAATTGTACTCTTAAACACGTATATAATATCTGAATTTAAATCTCATGTTGTCGTTGTATCTGAAGCGGTAATATTCGTTAAAAAGTCCTGAATATTTTGCATTAGGTACAGTCCAATTCACGAGTGCGTTTACAGGGACTCGTCATATAAACATTCCACAAATCATTCCCTTTAAAATATTTGATTTAATGCGGTTTTAATTTGATTCCATAGAATGTTTATTATTGCGAGTTTCCTTCTGTAGAATGTAAACAAACACAGGGTTGAGACATTGCACAGATCCTGACGAGTTCCTGTAAACGCACGAGTGAAGGGGACTGACTGACTGTATATGGATAATTAATCAGTATAGTGCAAAGTCTATTCTCTTCTATTGTTCATCTATTGTTCAACTTTGCGAGTCAAATTTTAATGAGTGACGCTTTGAATTTCAGAGCGGATACGGTTTATGTAGAGGTATTAATGGGAGTTTAATTTTTTTGTGTTTGTGAAAGGGGTCGCGTTTTTTAGTGTTTGTGAAAGGGATCGTTCTTTTTTTTTTTTTTTAGTTTTCTTTGAGGTTCGTGTTTTTTTTTCTTTCAGTCTCTTGCGAAGTTTCAGTCAAGTGGAGTGAAAGCGAGGAGTTCTTTCCCGTGTTTCCTTCCTGCATTGGTCTACTCTACTGGGCACACCTGTCCATTACTACACACCTGTCCATTACTACACACCTGTCCACTACTACACACCTGTCCATTACTACACACCTGTCCATTACTACACACCTGTCCACTACTACACACCTGTCCACTACTACACACCTGTCCACTACTACACACCTGTTCATTACCCCACACCCGTTAAAAAGTCTCCAATCAACTCTTCACTACACTAGACACACCTTTTCAGCTATAGAGAGAACACAGCTTTCGACTGACATAGCTTTTGAGTACCTGACGTGATTTATAGCTTGGCATGTCTTTTGAGTAACTTGATATGTTTTAAAGCTACTTTGCCATGAGGGTCTTGACAGCCTATCAAAGCTATACCTACCAGATAAACCTTTCAGCTAATTGTTGAATACCTTTTTAACCAAACTAACATAGCTTTTTTTACCGTTGGAAATAGATTTTAAAACCATGGACATAGTTTTTAAGAATGGTTGTAGTTTTAAATGAAATTCTATCGCTTTTAACGAACTGCCATAGCTTTTAACGAATTAACATAGATTATAACGAATTGCCATAGCTTATAACGAATTGCAATAGCTTTTAACGAATTGCAATAGCTTATAACGAATTGCCATAGCTTATAACGAACCCACATAGTATTACACATCCTTATACAGATCGGTTCAACCACTTCCCAACGCCCAAGTGAGTCCACAATAAGAACTCTCTATAGTACTGTATTCACCTACCTTCCTAAAGTCAACTACAGATGAAAAAATAACTTTGTACTTAACACAATTACATCAGTATTTTTTTTTCTTCCTCTACTACGTATCATACTTCACAAAAATAGCCATAAGTTGTTCAAAATGCAGGAGATTAAACCATTTTATATATATTTAAACCCTTTGAGGACGATGGTTTAAGGTATCTTGAAGGGGGATAAATATTTTAAGAGAGTTTTGTTAAACCATCGTCCTTAAAGAGTTAAAGAGACCATAGCAAGGGGTTCAATATTATGCATGGTTGGATTTTTGGAACGTACGTGTGTGTGTGTGTGTATATATATGTGTGTGTGTGTGTGTGTGTGTGTGTGTGTGTGTGTGTGTGTAGTCTTCGTTTCATGCCATATTTAAACCCCTTAATACATATATAACTGTTAATTGGTTGACTTAATCCTCTACGTCATCTGGGTTATAATGTACACAGTCTACAGTACACTAATTGGGAGTTGTGTCACCTGTATAACAAAACACATACAGGTGACATACTATCACCCATATGTTGTACAAATTATCATCATACACATTATCTTCATCACCATTATTACATTATCATCATCGTCAATTATCAGATTGTGTTATCGTCATCGTTAATTAGGATATATGATTGGTTGGGGGCTATCTGATATATGATTGGTTGGGGGCTATCTGATATATGATTGGTTGGGGGCTATCTGATATATGATTGGTTGGGGGCTATCTGATATATGATTGGTTGGGGGCTATCTGATATATGATTGGTTGGGGGCTATCTGACACGTGATTGGTCTGCTATTTGAGATGGTCAGGTTAAATTGAATATCTAAAAACCATATCATAATAATCCGCCATATTACAAAATTCCCAAACTGTTCTGTCCACGTCTAGAAATCGCGCCAAGGTTCCGAAAACGGGCGCAAGGAAATATGGCGTATGATTAGGTACTGTGGATATATATATGACATGGATACGTGTATATAAACTGTAAATACTCACATTTATGTATATACGCCTTATATTCCACATCAAGTTGACATAGAGAGTTGTAAGAGAGGGACAACAAATCCTTATATTGGATCTCATGTCGGTTAAGTTTATAAACACTATGAATACGGACTTAACTCACTGAACCTGATGCTCACTTGTTTCTTAATCGCATATAAACAAAGGAAGAATGTTCATAGCATCTGATGTATAGTGAATATAAACACAAATGAAGAATTATTAAGATAATAATAATAATAATAATAATAATAATAATAATAATAATAATAATAATAATAATAATAATAACAATACAATAATAATAATAATAATAATAATAATGACATTAAATATACAAAACAATTTCAATTGCTCTTGTAAACCCAAACTCCGTGAGTACTATGACTGAGCTCCTTGAGTACGATAGCATATACTTTTGAGGAAGATGACACTGTACTCAGGGTTTAAGCCATCGTACTCAAGCAGATGGTTATGTGGTCAAAATGGATGACATATATTAGGTTCTGTAGTGATGGATGATACGTGTTACGTTCTGTAGTGGTGATGGACGATACGTGTTACGTTCTGTAGTAGTGATGGATGATACGTGTTACGTTCTGTAGTGTGTGTGTGTGTGGTTGGCTGTAATTTATGGGAGGTGTTGGGCAGGACGGTGACTGACTGAGGGACAGATGGGTAGAGGGAGGGAGAGGACAGGAGGGTGTTGTGGTGGACGGGTGTGGGGAGGGAGCACAGGGGTTAAGGATCACTGGAGGAGAGTGAGGGTGGTGGGTGGAGGATCTACAGCTCGTACACGTCTTTCTTGTGATGGTGTTTAGGGCGGCGCGACTCCTTGCTCCTGGGGATCTTGGCGTGGGCGTGGGTGGGTGGGCGGTGATCGCGGGCGGAGGCGGTAGTGTACATGTTGTAGCCTGGGATGATATGCACGCGTACGTCACTGGCTGGTCGCGCCGCTGCTGCTGCGGCGGCGGCCGCCGCTGCTGCGGCCTCCCCACCCCGACCGCGGCGGGAGAGTGAGACGGAGGTCTTGCAGCAGCAATAGTGGAACAGCTGGACGTAGGCCTCACGGAAGGGCTTGTGGGCGGCGTAGATGAAGCTGGAGGCCGTGGCGGCCACGATGGGTAACCAGGCTACGCCCGTCCTCAGAGGGTCGTCTGTCCACCAGTCCCCGGCCACACCGGCCACCCAGCATCCCCCGGCCGCCGCCGTCACCACCAGGTTGGTGCCGGTGAGGGCCAGATCCCGCGTGAGGGCCTGCGGGGGCTTCATGGTGGGGGGCATGGGGCGCCTGGGTCCTCCCCGCCCCGCCAGCAGTGTGTGTGTGTGTATACTGAGAGCTGTCACCAGCGGCACCGCCACCAGTGCCACACCCACTGCCGACGTGAAGGCCATGTGGGAGGAGGGGCGGGCCGGGGGTCCTTGGGCGCAATGCATGGGCGCCAGGCCCGTCATCCATTGTGTGATGGTGATGACGAGCGCAGAAACCCAAGATACGCCCACCATGACGGCCAGCATCGCCACGCCCACACTACGACCCGCTACCCGTGCCGAGTTCTCCCAGGCGAGGGACGGTAAAGTAAGCAGGGTGGCGTGGGCGGCCAGGGTGGTAAGTAGCCATGATGCACAACACACGGGTGTCGGCCGTGACCAACCAGCAAGCAGTGCCACCACCCACGACGGCAGTACACCCGAGCTCACCACCAGCCCAGCCAACATCACGTTCACCACCAACACGTTCCCTGCAACACACAACATAGTTAGTACTTTCCCTGCAACACAGTCACGTTAGGGTAGGTTAGGTTAAATCAGGTCAAGTTAGTTTGGGAGTTTAAGTTAGTTTAGGTTAGGTTAGGTTTGGAAAAATCAGGTCAAGTTAGTATGGACAGCTTAGTTTAGGTACACAGCGTGACTCATTTCCATTTAGACAGTGCTGCCACCTGGTGATAGAACACATAAACTACCAACGTAAACACACAATGTCCACCGACCTTTGACTTACTTAAAAAAAAAAAGAGCAAAAATTACCCGCATGATGGAACTGGCCGCCATTTGCATCCTGTTTTTTCAACTATTTTTAATTGTTGACGAGACACACACACACACACACACACACAATCTCGCTGTCAGTCTCGCTAAATCGACCTGTACAAGAATTTATCCAAACACCTTTGTCTGACTATAACATCCAATTATTAATGCCACTTCGCCAATCTCCCTTAAAACAGCATCATGTTCAAAGAGATTAGATTAAATTAAGCGAGATTAGGTTTAGATAAGACAAAATTAAATCAAGCTAGATTAGTCATCCAATGAAATAATCTGGTGAGGAAGGGGAGGGGAGATGGAGTGGAGGAGGAGGGGAGGAGGTGGGGAGTAGGAGAGGAAGTAGAGGGGAGGTGGAGGTGAGGTCTAATCATCATATAATCCATTAGCAAATATCACCTAACCTAACCTAACCTAACCTAACCTAACCTAACCTAAACTAAACTAAACTAAACTAACCTAAACTAACCTAACCTAACCCAACCTAAACTAACCTAACCTAACCTAACCTAACCCACTACAGGTATACCAAATTTCAATCAATATTCCCTTCAACTTGTGAGGTCCTCTGCTACCTTACCTTCTGCCCAAGACGAAGCTGGACAACATCGAGAGAAGTATTAGAGAATGAGGAATATTAGATTGGACGTTAGCTCAAAGGTCTGTCACTCAACGCCTATATGGAAAGTGAAATGTGCTGTCTCCCGTTTTCTTTTGCCTTTTGATTATACTGTGTAGTCTCCCGTTTTCCGTTGCCTTTCGATTATACTGTGTAGTCTCCCGTTTTCCGTTGCCTTTTGATTATACTGTGCTCTCTCCCGTTTTCTGTTGCCTTTTGATTATACTGTGTAGTCTCCCGTTTTCTGTTGCCTTTTGATTATACTGTGTAGTCTCCCGTTTTCCGTTGCCTTTCGATTATACTGTGTAGTCTCCCGTTTTCTGTTGCCTTTTGATTATACTGTGTAGTCTCCCGTTTTCCGTTGCCTTTTGATTATACTGTGCTCTCTCCCGTTTTCTGTTGCCTTTTGATTATACTGTGTAGTCTCCGTTTTGCTTTGATATTATACTCGTAGTCTCCGTTTTCTGTTGCCTTTTGATTATACTGTGTAGTCTCCGTTTTCTGTTGCTTTTGATTATACTGTGCTTCCCGTTTTCTGTTGCCTTTGATTATACTGTGTAGCTCCGTTTTGCGCTCTTTGATTATACTGTGTAGTCTCCTGGTTTCGTTGCCTTTAATATACTGTGCTCTCTCCCGTTTTCTGTTGCCTTTGATTATACTGTGCTCTCTCCCGTTTTTGTTGCCTTTGATTATACTGTGCTGTCTCCCGTTTTCCGTTGCCTTTGATTATACTGTGCTGTCTCCTGTTTTCTGTTGCCTTTTGATTATACTGTGCTGTCCCCTGTTTTCTGTTGCCTTTGATTATACTCGTGCTGTCTCCTGTTTTCTGTTGCCTTTGATTATACCGTGTAGTCTCCCGTTTTCGTTGCCTTTGATTATACTGTGCTGTCTCCCGTTTTCTGTTGCCTTCTGGTTATACTCTTGTAGTCTCCTGTTTTCCGTTGCCTTTTGATTATACTGTGCTGTTCCCGTTTTCGTTGCCTTCTGGTTATACTGTGCTGTCTCCTGTTTTCTGTTGCCTTTTGATTATACTCGTAGCTCCCGGTTTCCGTTGCCTTTTGATTATACTGTGCTGTCTCCTGTTTCTGTTGCCTTTGATTATACTGTGCTGTCTCCCGTTTTCTGTTGCCTTCTGGTTATACTGTGTAGCTGCTCTTTCTGTTGCCTTTTGGATTATACTGTGCTGTCTCCTGTTTTCTGTTGCCTTTTGATTATACTGTGTAGTCTCCTTCCGTTTGATTATACTGTGCTGTCTCCTGTTGCCTTCTGGTTATACTGTGTAGTCTCCCGTTTTCTGTTGCCTTTGATTATACTGTGCTGTCTCCTGTTTTCTGTTGCCTTTTGATTATACCGTGTAGTCTCCTGCTTTCCGTTGCCTTTGATTATACTGTGCTGTCTCCCGTTTTCTGTTGCCTTCTGTATACTGTGTAGTCTCCCGTTTTCCTGTTGCCTTTGATTATACTGTGTAGTTCCCTGTTCTTCGCTTGCCTTTTGATTTATACTGTGCTGTCTCCTGTTTTCTTTGCTCTTTTTGATTTATACTGTGCTGTTTCCTGTTTTCTGTTGCCTTCTGGTTATACTGTGTAGTCTCCCGTTTTCTGTTGCCTTTTGATTATACTGTGCTGTCTCCCGTTTTCTGTTGCCTTTTGATTATACTGTAGTCTCCCGTTTTCTGTTGCCTTCTGGTTATACTGTGCTGTCTCCCGTTTTCTGTTGCCTTCTGGTTATACTCGTGCTGTCTCCCGTTTTCTGTTGCCTTCTGGTATACTGTGCTGTCTCCCGTTTTCGTTGCCTTTTGATTATACTGTGCTGTCTCCCGTTTCTGTTGCCTTTGATTATACTGTAGCTCCCGTTTTCTGTTGCCTTGATTATACTGTGTAGTCTCCCGTTTTCTGTTGCCTTTTGATTATTTTGTTGTTTAGGTTGATTTGTGTGTTTTGATTTTGTTGTTTGTTATCTGATCGTTGTGTACAGTAATTTGGTTCAATTTGGAGATTAGGAACGACCATCAGATTATTTATCCTGATGTTTAAGACGTTAATGATAACCTAACGTAACACTAACTTAATCTACCCTACCCTAACCTAACCTAACCTAACCTAACCCCTATTTATTATTATACTTATTATTTTTAGTTGGGTTTCACTTGGTCAACATTTGTGGTAATCAGTTATCATCATCAGTCATTAATGGTCATTAACAGTTATTAAACAGGTTATTCTTAAAGTCATCTCAATTCACTTCCATTAGTCGTGATAGTGACCATAATATTTCCCTCAAACAGACAGACAGACAGACACAGACTGACTGACAGACAGACAGACAGACACAGACTGACAGACAGACAGACACAGACCCTCTACTGGAGCTGATACAATGAGGTCACTGATTCACTGTCTTTCCATGACGCATTTTTTCACTAACACTATAAGGTAAATTGACCCTAAAGTATTATTTGTTTACATTTTCATTAAAGTAAAAAATTAGGAAGGGGAGGGAAGAGAAAGGGAGAGAAGAGGAGGGAGGGGAAGAGGAGGAAAGAGAAGGGAGGGGAAGAAGAGGAAAGAGAAGGAAAAATACGGGAAGGAAAGAGGAGGGGATAGAAAGGAAGGGAAAGGACACGAGGGGAATAGAAAGGAAGGGAAGACAAGAGAACAGAAGAGAAGAGAAGAGAAGAGAGGGAAGGGGAAAGGAAGGAAAGAGACGAAAGAGAAGGAAAGGGAACAGAACACAAGAGGTGAGAAAAGAGGGATGCTTTGGATTGCTACAGTTATCCCTCATCAACAACAAAGAAAACTGTACGGTAAGGCCAGCAGGAGAGGGGGGACTCAATAAAGTGACGCCCTCTTTGCCATATTCCAATAAAGGCTGGGATACCCGTCTGTTCCTCGCATGAATTCACGTTTTATTTTTTTCTGAACAGTCTATAGGGGAATAGGAACCTAATACTTTTATTTTTATTTATTTTTCTTGTTTCTTTTGTATTAAATTCGATATTGTTTCGTCTCCTATTATCTTGTTGTCATGCTTACTGCTGCTACTACTACTACTACTAATACTGCTATGACTACTGCTACTATTACTGCTACGATTACTACTACTACTACTACTACTACTACTCTATTCGCTTTCTCATCTCTCACCTTTCACCTCCATCTCCCTCACCACCACTCCCTCACCACCACTCCCTCACCTCTCACCACCACTCCCTCACCTCTCACCACCACTCCCTCACCTCTCACCACCATTCCCTCACCTCTCACCACCACTGCCCTCACCTCTCACCTCCTAATCATACGTAAATAATGCCCCCACTCACACACACACTATCGAGCCATAGGGAGTGCTGGTTGATGAGCACAGTGAAATATACTCACAGTGGCTATTCTTCCCTTCTTGTGATATATATTTCTCGCGAGTGAAATATACCCTTGGGATATTTTTCATGGAAGATGGAGAGAATGACATTAATTATTGAACAATACCTAACCTAACCTAACCTAACGCAAACGTAACGTAACCTAACCAAACCTAACGTTAACCTATTCTAACCTAACATAACTCTAACCTAACGCTAACCTAACTAAACCTTGGAAAAAAAAACAACAACCCTGAAATGATACAAAATTGGAGCTTTTTCGTCTTGTTCGTCCACAGAGGTTCCCCCAGCAGGCAGGTCTTGTCATGGGAGAGATATCGACAAGAAGGACGCCGTGTACCGCTTCCCAATACCCACATTAGGCAGGTGACGGTGTAAGACCTTTTCCATATTTATACCTGCCATGATGACGTAGATATACACCTGTTGTGCGAGCTTTTACCGTATTTTTTCGTCACCATGTAAACAAACCTATCGAGTGACGTCTTGGGTTCATATATAGAGTAGGTTAGATCATGGTTATTTCACCTAATGATTAAGTAACCTAACCCACCTAACTTAATGTAACCTAACCTATTTTAACGCTAACGTAACATAACTTAACCTAAACCAAACTAACGTTACGTAATCTGATCTAACCTAACCTAACGCTAACCTAACCCTAAGGTCGCAATCACCACCCTCTCCAATCACCACCCTCTCCAATCACCACCCTCTCCAATCACCACCCTCTCCAATCACCGTGCACCCTAATTAAACTATACCTGGGTGAATCTCTCTCCTAATCAGTATGCAAGACCCGACTTAATATCTAATTACCGATACAAGCAGATGGTAAAGACGAGGCTGAAATGACCCTAATTATTCTTTTCAATTAGGTTGATCATACAAACGTTATCTGGATATTAATTACCTCTTGAAAAACACACTATAATATTTTCATAATATAACTAGTGAGTATTCCTGCGTTTAGTGTGTGTTAGAGGGGCGCCCCAAGTCGACCCAGTTGTAGAATGAACACTGACTTTATAGTTTGGGGAGTACGAGAGTAAAGAATGGGGGTGTTGGAGGCAAGGAGAGGAAGTGTTGGGGGTTAGGGGAGTGAGTGTTGGAGGTAGAAGGTGGAGTGTTGGAGGAGGGGAGGGAGGAAGGGGGGGAGGCACCTTTAAGGGGAGGATGTGTGGGTCTTACGGCGTCTAGTTGCCATGGAAACCGTGAGGGAGGGGAGGGGGAGGGAAAGTGGGGTGGGGGAGGGGCGGTGGAGGAGGAGATAGAAGAGAAAAGAGAGGAGGTAGGAGACAGGAGAGAAAGGAGAGAGAGAGAGAGAGAGAGAGAGAGAGAGAGAGAGAGAGAGAGAGAGAGAGAGACTTGTATACATTATCAACATGACAGTCACGCTCTACTCAATCCCACCAAGCTATATGAGATTGGTCGTAGGGCTTCGTCGTAAACCCACTACTCACCACTCCACCTTAATCCACTCCATCACACCCGCCACCACACCACCACTGCAGGCACCACAAACACTATTATCACCATCATCACCATCACGTCAAGCAACACTAAGCACTACCACCAACACCATTATCACCACAGAGAGAGAGAGGGAGGGAGAGAGAGAGAGAGAGAGAGAGAGAGAGAGAGGTGTCTGGTGTTCGAGGTTGAAATCCACGTTACCTAATTGTACTGACTAACCTCTTGCCCCCCTCCTTCCACCACGGCGGCCCCATTAACCACAACAACAGGAGTATCGAGTGTCAGGAACCGAATCCGAACTCCTCATCTCCTACGCTCCATAAAGATACACTAGGAGCCTCATGGAATCGAACGTGTGTCCTCAGGTTACAATACGAAGACTCAGTTCTCCCCTTCGCCACGACCGTATAAGTCTACATTCCAAAGCTGTATCGAGTTTCTGGATTCGAATGTGTGTCCTCAAGTTACAATGCCTAAGCTTGGGTTTTCCTCTCCTTCAAGTCGGTTTTATATTTCACAAAAGGAATTGAAACCGGAGTCGATTCCTGAGGCTCAAAACTGAACAAATTTTGATTCAACCTAAAAATTAGACACCAACATCTTATTTCACCTGAAGATTAAACACCCTATAGCTACCTGGGGATTAAGTCAGGTTAGGTTAGGTTAGGTTAGGTTAGGTTAGGTTAGGTTAGGCTAGGTTAGGTTAGGTTAGGTTAGGTTAGCGTTGGAGTATTTAATCCTCAGGTTAAATAAGCTGGAGTGTCTAATCTTCACGTGATTTCAAGTTTTAACATAATAATCGAACCAGAATCCAGCCATCATGTATCACGCCAAGGCTCTGTCCACTTCCCCACGACACACCGTCTCCCACACTTAGCAAACCTTAATTAGTTGTGTTAATTATGCAGGTGACAGTTATCTCAAGGTGCCAAATCTGTGGCACCATTACACCTGGTTCATCTTAAGCTAATTGAGGAGGGAGGCAGGTAGGTGAAGGAGGGAAGGATGTGGGAGGAGGGAGGAAGAAGGGGGAGGAAAGTGGGTGGGAGGGAGGGAGGGAGGGTGGGAGGGAGGAGGGAGGAGAAGGAGGGAGGGAGGGAGGAGGAGGTAGAGGTAGGAAAGTATTGGTATAAGAAGGAGGAGGGAGATAAGTACGAGAGAGAGAGAGAGAGAGAGAGAGAGAGAGAGAGAGAGAGAGAGAGAGAGAGAGAGAGAGAGTTCACAATAGTAAAAATTAATGAACAAGACATTGAGTCAGCAGCATTATTAAAGACGTTGACATCCTCGCGTTCACCAGCTAAAAGCCCAGTTAATCGGCACGTGGTATATCTAAAAGGCCCGTATAAACAACCATACTTGACCTAATAGACCTCTAGAGCTATTGTCACATCAGCCATAAAAGAGACGCTTCTTCTAAGTCTTCATTACATTCATTACATTGAATTCTGATCACTTTAATCGGCACGGTGTCTCTATAAACCATTAATGAACATTTGTTATAGCTTTTGCATCGACTATAATAGACACAGTCATAAAAGTACTCAATATTAACCTTTTTTATTTACCAGACACTGACCACGTTAATCGACTCACTTACCTGTAAACGGCACATCTATTTTACTAAACTCATGGGTGCTCTCTCTATCATCGTAATGGGGACACACATGGGGGAGGAAATTAAATGGGGGAGAGTTTAGGCTTGTCATGACCCCGGCCCACAGCGGCATTAAGAGCTCACACACACACACACACACACACACACACACACACACACACACACACACACACACACACACACACACACACACATAGCCACGTTACTGATATAGGCTTAACGCTCTACACCGATCATTTACCACTGCCCAACACGTCTCATGAAGCAGTTGGTAGGAGTGCAGGTTTGGTGCAGGTTTGGCACAGGCTTGGTTTGGTTAATGTGTGTTTATTCTATACAAATTATCGAATTGTGTTTTATCAACGAATTTTCTTTATCCGAATTATGAACTCTTGAACTTTAAATTTAACGGACTATATAGGGTCCATTAGATATAAAACCTCCATTTAACGGATTTATATGGAGAGAGAAGTCCGCTATAGGGAGATTTCACTCTATAATAATCCGGAACTACTGACTCTGACACCACGAATTAGAAAGGCCTTATATAACCGGCCGTGAATATATGCAAATCTCTATTTTAAGTCAGGGTTTATACTGTCACTCAACTCCCATTAACCACAACAGCATCTAATAACCTTAACCATAATATTAACAAAAGCTTTTAAACTTAGAACTTAACAGAGAAAAAATAAAACAAAAAATAAACAAAAATAAATGAGAAATGTATCTCAAGTTAGCATTATATTAAACAGTATCAGATTATGGAAGATTATAAATAGGGAAATGGGGAAATAAATTGGGTGTATGAGAGTAATGTGATAATATAGTTAGTGTTTTGGTGTTAGTTGGTTAAATAGCCGACCTGTGGGAGTTAAACCATAGTCTTGTGGGGGGGTTAAACCTTCTTTCTGAGGGATAAATTATATCGTTTTCAAAGGATTAATCCACAAAGGGTTATTTCATCGTCCCCAGAGAATTAAACCATCTTCATCAAAGAGTTAAACCATCATCATATACTCGTCAAAATGGTTAATACTTAGTCGTCAAAGGGTTAAACCATCGTTCTCAAAGGATTAAACCATCATCGTCAAAGGGAACAAAATGACATCACTCGGTCCATAATTGAATGAAGACACAAAGCTCTTTTCTGTAAAAAAAAAAATTCCTATGTATTTCTTTAAGATCTGGCTAAGTATCCCCTTGATGACTATATTACAAGGAAAACGAGTATAGGAGGACACGCTTTTAACATATGTAAGTTCGTAATAATAATAATAATAATAATAATAATAATAATAATAATAATAATAATAAACTAACCGGTCACCCGCCGCGCCAACCACAGAAAACGGATAGCCTGGGAAAACATGGAGGCTAAACTCAAGAATCTTACATCCACAAAGTTCAAGTGAATTTCAAACTTCATTTCAATGTTTTAATCTCCACGAAACAGGATTGGACGGTTGGATAAAAATTAATTCTGGCTTTTACGACCCATTTTCAAGTTTATTTTAGAGTTGGTGAGTTAATATCAGGTTTTGTTTTGTGGTTTCAGTTGAAGGAAAAAAAATAGTTGTCCCGTTTTTATGATTTTCAATTTTTTTTTTATGATTTTAGTTGAATAAAAAAAAAATAGTCAACTTTTCCTCATTTGTTCAGTGGAAAATTCACTGATGTTATTTTTTATGAGAAAACTCCAAACTGCGGAGGTAAAAATATAATCGTGCAGGTATTGGTGACGAAGTTGGTTTACAGGGCCCTTGAAACCCTTCCCTACAGACGTCTTAAAACTCTAGATAACTCCTATTAGCTTGCTAGAACCCCTTAAAAAACCCAATAGAATTGCCTTAAGCTCACCAGTACCCCTTAAAACCTCCTGAGTACTCATTTATTCCCAATAGAACCCATTAAACGTCGCTAGAACAACTTGAAACCCCCAGAGAAATCCTTTAGGTCCCCATAACTCCTTAGAAAATCTCAAGAACCCACTATAGTAAAAATAAACCACATTAACCTTTAAAAACCCTTCAAAATTCCTCTACGGAACCCACGAGAACCTCCTAAGAACTGACCTTTCTTCTTGAGGTGGTCTTCCGTCATGACAGCGGCGATGGCGAAGATATTGCCCAGGGTGCCGAGAGCTGCCAGCGTGGAGACGAGGAGCAGCATCCCCAGGCGGTTCCAGTGTTGCTGTTCCGGTATCGTCTGTTGTTCGGTGGTGTTACTCGGGTAGAGCGGCGTCTGGTGAGGGTGGTGCTGTGGTTCCATGCCCGCCCCGTCCTCCTGCGGCTGCTGGAGGAGGAGATCTTGGTCCACGTTGCCGGCTACCACGCCCACCACGCCTACACGCAGCGCCGTCTCCGTCATCCAGTTCAGCACGTCCCCGCTGGTCACCTCCGCCGGGAAGTCACCGGGCGGAGAGGTCACCGCCGAGCTCATCTCTCGTGCATCCTGCCTGCAACAAGATCAACAGAAGGTCAATACAAGCCGAGTATGTGTCAACAGAGGTCAACAAGTGTCAATAGAGGAATGTTATATGTCAACAGGTGTCAACAGGTGTCAACAGGTGTCAACAGGTGTCAACAAGTCATATTCCAGTTCCTCAAAGATTTACAAATAAATTTCCTCCCAAATTAGATATATGAAAAAAAAATCCAAATAGCTCACTGTTGAGAATCGCACGTAAACAAAAGATCAGGTTACCAATATGGCGGACGAGTCGCATATAAACAAAAGATCAGGTTACCAATATGGCGGACGAGTCGTATATAAACAAAGGATCAGGTTACCAATATGGCGGACGAGTCGTATATAAACAAAGGATCAGGTTACCAATATGGCGGACGAGTCGTATATAAACAAAAGATCAGGTTACCAATATGGCGGACGAGTCGTATATAAACAAAAGATCAGGTTACCAATATGGCGGCCCAGCTTCACAACACCATAGAAGAAGAAGCAAGATGGCGGACAGGTCATTATTTACGCGTGAGAAAGTCTCTTGGGGGAGTTAGGAGACTTCTTACTGAGATCTCTAAGTTGACGAACTCTTCCTCGCCGGCGGTGATGGAGGAGGAAGGGGAAGAGGAGGGGGAGGAGAACGGGTAGGCTAGGGTAAGAGGGGGCGGGTGAGGTAGAGGAAGAAGAAGAAGAAGAAGGAAGGGAAGAGAGGGGAAAGACAGAGGAGGAGAGGGAAGGAAGAGAGGGGAAGCGAAGAACACTACTGGACAATTTAGTTTTCCACCTCACTACCTCCAGGGTCTGTAAAAGGTCGCACTCTCAGTCCTCTCCCTCTCACTTCCTATCCCTTCCTTATTTCTTGCCGCCTTGATTCCTTCTTGCTATCACTTCTTCCTTTCTCACTTCTCTCCTTCCCTCCTTCCCTCCAGAATGTCCTCTAAAAAAATAAAACAAAAACCCACTGACAAGAATCATCCATTGTCTGCTGGTTCTTGAAATCGCAACGACAACTGATAAGGAATCCGACGACCCTTTCTACAAGCTCTCCAGGAGGTCACTGAACTCTGCTAGATAACTTTTAATGTTTACATCTGAGGGTCCCTGCTGATTGATCATATCCAGGCGAGAGGGGGAGGGAGGGAGGGATGGGGAGGGAGGAAGGGGGAGAGGGAGGGGGAATGGGAGTGGACTGGAAGGACAAGGAGAGAGAGAGAGACGACCCCCTTATCACCAGATTCACCCATGATCCACATAAGGTAACCCAAATCCGTCTACAATCCACACAGATCACATTCCAGATCCACCCAAAATCCACTCAAAATCCACCCAAGATCTAGTAACGTGGGGGACAGATAAGGGGAACACGAACACACACACACACACACACACACACACACACACACACACACACACACACACATTTGTAAGACGCGAAAGCTCAGATCCACTGTTGAGGAGGACACAGAGAGAGAGAGAGAGAGAGAGAGAGAGAGAGAGAGAGAGAGAGAGAGAGAGAACAGCTGTTGAAGTATACACAAAACCAAATGGAGTTATTTATGCCATTGTAAACATCAACACGTGGAATATGATCAGCTGTTATTAGTAAACAAACTCCACGTGACAAACCTTATCAGCTGTAATTTTTTTCAAGAGACTCTTTCGTTATATTTCCTTCTGCTTTCTCTTCCTTTCTTTCTATTTTTCTAGTCTATCGTTTCTTCAACATTTCTCTATATTTTCCCATATTTATCTATTTTCACTTTCTACGAATTTTTACTCGTTTTTCCCCTCCTTCCTTTATTTTCCCCTGTTCTTATTCCTCATTCTTTCTTCCCTTCTCACTTCTTCACTTTCTCCCTAAATTATTATATATTTTTTATTTTCTCCTTCTATACGTGATCCTCTTTTTTTGGTATCTTTTCCTCTCTTACTTTTTCTCTTTTTCTCTTCTCTCATCATTTCTCTCACTCTTTTAATGCTACCTCTCTCTCTCTCTCTCTCTCTCTCTCTCTCTCACCACTTCTTTCTTCACTGCTATCTCCTCCCCCTCCCTCTCACTTTCACCCCTCCCTCTCACTTTCACCCCTCCCTCTCTGTTTCACCCCTCCTCTTCTCTCTCTCTCTCTCTTTGTCTTCTATTGCACCCCATCTTTTTCTTCCTTCTTCTTCCCTCCCTTTTATTCTCTCTTTCCTTTCCTATTTTTTATCAGGTACAATTTATTACCCTCCTTTCATGACCCCACTCGGCATTACTTCCTACTGAGAACCTGTGGCGGTGGAAAATTGTCCCAGTGAGTGTGTGTGTGTGTGTGTGTGTGTGTGTGTGTGTGTGTGTGTGTGTGTGTGTGTGTGTGTGTGTGTGTGATGAGAGAAAGTGAGGAAAGAATGGGTGAGTAAAAGTGACTAAATCAGAGAGAGAGAGAGAGAGAGAGAGAGAGTTATGAAGTTGTTGTTGCTTCACCTGGGCTGATGAGGTTGTGTACAGGTGACCACAGGTGAGAGGGAAGGAGGGAGGAGAGACACGCATAGGAAGGGAGACATGAAGGGAGGGTAGGGAGAGGAGAGGAAGAAGGGAGGGGAGGGAGGGTAGGGAAGGTAGGAAGGGAGAGATGGGAGGGAGGGAGGGTAGGAAGGGAGAGAAGGAGGGGAGGGAGGGAGAAAGAAGAGAGAGGGAGAGAAGTGAGGGAAGGGGAAGGGAGGAAGGAGGGAGGAAGGGGGGAGGAGAGAAGGGAGGGAAAGGAGAAGGAGGGAGGAGGGAGAAAAGGGAGGGTAGGGGAGGAAGAGAGAGAAGGGTAAGGGGAAGGGGAGAGAAGGGAGGAAGGGGAGGGAGAGAGGGAAGGGACTGGGGTGGAGAGAGAAGGAGGGAAGGGAAGGGAGAAAAGAGAGTGAAGGGAGGGCCAATGTGATATTGGTAACCTCGGAAATCTCTCAAGCCGGATGAGAGCGTCTCTAAGGTCAGAAGGGAGAGAGAGAGAGAGGAGAGAGAGAGAGTAGGAGAGAGGAAGGATAGAAGAAGAGTAAAAAAGAGGGAAGGAAATGGAGGGAAAGGGAGAGGATAGAGGAGGGAGAGTGAGGTGAAAGGAAGGAGAGAGAGAAGGAAAGAAGAAGAAGAACAATGGAAAGAAGAGAGACTGGAATGAAAGGTAATGAGGGTAAAGGAAGGGAAGAGAAGAAGGAAGAAGGGGAAGAGAAGAGGAGGAGGAGGTTATACATTTTTCATGAGGTTTATCCACCAATTGATGGCTCCTTCCTGCCTCCTACCTCAGCGTACACGAGAGAGAGAGAGAGAGAGAGAGAGAGAGAGAGAGAGAGAGAGGATGATAAAGCAAGAACAAGGAGATAACTTTAACCTTAGGACTTTATCCAAAGGACTCCAGGCGTAGGATTTTGGCGGCGTGTGTGTGTGTGTGTGTGTGTGTGTGTGTGTGTGTGTCCAGCTATACTCCCATCTGGACAAAAGGGAGAAGATAAGGTCCCATGACAGCCGCCTCCTGACGACTTTCTGTGGCTGAGAGGGAGCAAGGGAGAGTAAGGGAGAGGGTGTGGAGAGGGGGTGGAGAGGGGTGGAAGTGGAGTGGGAGGAGATGAAAGGGGTGGGGAGAGGGAGATGGGAGTGAGAGAGGGAGGGGGGTAGAGAGTGAGGAAGAGGGATGGGTAAGTGGGGAGAGGGATAGAGAGGGATAGAGAGGGATGAGAGTGAATTTGGAGGGGAGGGAGAGTTTACGAAAGGATACATAATTATCATTGTTCATCCCATAAAAAAACAGAAACCATATCTATATCTATCCCAGGAAAAACAGAAACCATATCCTTGTTTACCCTACGGAAAAAAGTCCTTATCCATTCCATGAAAAACAATATCTCTGTTCATCCTATAAAATATGAAAAATACGTCTTTGTTCATCCTACGTAGAGCATAAAGCGTATCTTTGTACATCCTGGGAGAAGCAAACAGCATCATCTTCAACTAACCAATCAGCGATCAGAGCGTCATTAACTACATTTAATCTAATAATCGAGTCAGGGAGCAATATTGACGCCATCTTGACTACTTACGAGGAAGAAAAAAATAATCTCGCGGTTCTCTGAGAATTCCGTTTAAAGTCAACCCTTAATTATCTTCTGATCTGCTTTTATGACCCACCGGTAGTCTGACCTCATTAAGTCTCGTCTCTGATTGGCTGTTGGGCTTAGAGGGAGGACGTAATTAGCCCCAGTTGACCAATAGGCGTTCAGAATATTACATCTAATAATGACGTCATGTTTGTTTACATAACGGGAGATCAAGATTGGTTCGTCGGTTAATGGGTTGACCAATGAATGCTCGTGAGATGGTAGAGCAATGAGAGCAGCCTTCGAAACTAAAGAAAGCACACTCTCTCTCTCTCTCTCTCTCTCTCTCACCTCCAATATGGGGCTAGCTCGGGCTACCTGTGCCGTGTCAACAGAGAAGAGCTCCGCCATCTGCAGGTATATTAGCTTCCTCCCTAAATCCTGCTGGCTGAGATACGGGAAGATGAGGAGGTAGGGAGGCAGGTAGAGAGAGGAGGGGAGGGGTGGAAAGAAGCGAGAGAGAATGGAAAGGAGGGATGGGTAGAGATGGAAAAGGAGGGAAGAGGAAGAAATGTAGGAATGAAGAAAGAGGTGAGGGAGATAGACGAAGGGAAAAGGGAGGAAGCAGACGAAGGGAGAGGGAGAAAAGGGGGGAATCTGGGTATTATGAAGTCGATGTTTATCTTAGGATCAAATCAGAGGGGAGGGGAGGGAGGGAGATAGGGTTTAAGGGAGAGAGGGAGGAGGGACGAAGGGAGGGAGCAGAGACAGAGAGGGAGGGAGGGTTAGTAGGGCTAAAGGGAGGGAGGAAAAAATGACAGGAAATTAAGGTTAAAGGGAGAAAGGGAGCAGAGATGGAGGAGGAAAGGAAGTAAGGGAGGGATGGAGGAGAGTAAGGATAGGGAACTAGAGAGAGAGAAGGAAGAAGAGGGGAGGGAGGTA